TGTGGCCTTGGAGCTCGACACACATTTCAAAATTACCCTTAACATAACTTTCCCACAATATCCCTTACATTTAAATCAAATGCCCAAGATACCCTTGAACATAATCAAAGTTATTTCTAACATCGTTGAGATGGACCCAATCACAATGTCATGCCTCTATACTATTTTATTTTGTTAATTTTTTTATAAATATTTTGATGCCAAATTTTGGGCATCCACTCCTCTCTTAAACTCACATCTACAAAAAAAAATTACAAAAAAAGTATTCCTGATAAAATAAAATGGCCAAAATACCCATGTTAGTTATAAGAGCATCTGGTTCTTTTATTTTATCGAAATTATTTATTTAAGAATTTTTTTAGGTGTGTCCCATTAAGATGATGGCATGTACCAAATTTCATATTCATATAATATGTAAAAAATATTATAAGTAAAATACTCTAAGGCAACGGATCTAGATCAAACGGTCAGTAACTCACTTGATCTTGATTTAATTGGACGATTGGATGTGGAGATTATACAACTTGTATACAGTAGAAGAAGTATAGGAAGCTGAAAATGTAAAGAGTCAAGGTCGTTTATTTTAGCAAGAACAATAAATGGCATTAGATTTTGGCCGAAGGCGAACTTGTTCAACCCAACTTTTTGTCTGAACCTTATCATCACTAAATGAAAAACTCAATAATCATCAAACTAAAAAATCTAAAAAGAACAGATTTTGAGTTCTTAAAAGGGTTTCAACTGGCCACCACATAATTGGATGATCAATACAAAATTTCCAAATTCCAATGTTATCCTGAAAAAAAAATTTGTTGGCTACTTGTTCGTAGCTAAGATGATGTGTGCCAAGTTTCAGGCTATTTAATTGCCTCAAAACTCAAATAGGGCAGGGTGCAAACAAATTGTTTTTTGAAAAGTATAGAATAAGGCATTTTATTGTTATTTACCCAAAAAAAAAGAAATCAATTTTTTGTATAAGGAGGTCACAATTACTAATGGACGCTATATTTAAAATCGGACAATTGGAGATATGGGATTTACAACCTCAAAGTTCAAAGAAAAATTATTTTGATATTTATAATACATCCTAGTCTAAGGATTTGACATTTGACCGTTTTCAGCGATCATGACGTCCTTGTGCCAAAAAAACAATGGTCGTATAATGTATAATACCTTCATTTATAAAACGTTCAAAAACATATTTAGTATTTATAAAATGTGATTTTCCATTATTAACGAAAGCAAAGGATGGAAGAAATCATATAGGTCTGTTGTATTTGAATAGGTGTGCTCTTACAAAGCATAAAACTACTCTAAAAAGGTGCTATGAAACTATTTATTTTTTGTATAAAGAGGTCACAATTGCTTCTAGCCATTCAATGAGAAATCTAATAGATGAAAGTATGTCACATCATTTACAAAAAATTTGTTTTGAACTTTGTGCGCAAATAATGATAAACTTTCAACCGCCCGATTTTAAATCTAATGGTCAATAATAATTGTAGCCTACTTGTATCAAAACAAATGGTCTCGTTATATACATTTCCGATGGTTATTGATTATGGTTATTATTACTAGTTTTCATCACTTGTTAGATCTTTAATCCAACGGTTGGGCATCTCCAATATAACCCATGTACACTCCGACTTGATAATTGCTCAAGGAAAATAATCCCATTTTATTATGCAGAATAATGCCCATTTACTATACAAGATTATCATAGAAAAAACCTGTCTGCCTCTTTAGATGGATCAAATTTGAGAAACAAAACATGCCTGCCGCCGCCACCTCCGTTGACATCGGAGTCTCTGCATTTTGTTGTACACTCATGGTTTCTGTTGAGGGAAACTATAGTCAATTGGAGGTCCTATTGCGATCTTGAGAGATTGTGGATATGAACCCATAGATAGGACATACTTGTATATCGTTTTCTCATCTCAGTTAATGGAAAATGGTAAAAATTTATAATATCGCACCAATTTTTCAGTTATTAATCCGTTTAGGCTGCGTGGTGAAACTTCTCCAACAATCATGGTTTCTTGTGGCCATAAACGGAAATAAATAAAAAAGAAAACACCATCTTCTAGTGGTGTTTTGAGAGAGAGAGAGAGAGAGAGTAGAGAGAGAGATCTTGGAGAGAGGGGAACATTTTGTAACTGTTTGGGTATTTGAGAGAGAGAGAGACCGAGTTTTGAGATAGAGAGAGATGGTATTTTGACTCGATTATAGTTATCTTTGTATTATCTCTTCTTATTAATAAAATATGTCACTCTTGTCAAAACAAAAAAAAGAGAGACGGTGTTTTGAGAGAGAGGGAGATGATGTAGAGATGGTACTTTATCCAATAGTTTGGGTATTTGAGGCAGAGAAATGAAATTTTGAGAGAGAGAGAGAAAGAGAGATAGTGTTTTGGGTGTTTGAGAGAGAGAAACGATGTTATGAGAGAGAAAGACGATGAAGTTAACATAGAAAGAAAAAAGTAGTTGAGAGGGTGTCATTTTATTATTTTTTTGGATAAAAAATACATAGCCTAATGGTCCAGGGGGTTGGAGGATAGAAAATACAAAGACCCTATGATGCAAGTAATATTATGAATAATTGGATCTCATGAGAAATAGATACCGAAAATAAGGGGTACAGAGGTATTTTCCTTTCTTTTTTTCATTTGAACCTTAACAAAAGTATCATCGAGTGAATGAAAGGAAGCAAAGTCTAAGAATCTCTCCCCTCGATTCTCTTACTCTCTCTCTCTCCAACCAGCTTATCCAAGATCGCTTCTCTCATTTTTAGCTATATCCTCATTATTATTATTTTTCATTTCTTTAAGGTAGAAAACTTATCATGCTATGACCCTAGGAAACCAGGGGCTTTCCATAGTATAATACCATATAGAGGTTACAATTACTTTTTGGTTTTTTTTGGTACTTCTTTCTATTTACAAAGTTGTAAGCTTACAATACCATATTTTTTGGTCTTTCTTTCTATTTTTTGGTCTTTTTTGGTACTTCACTGGTAGAAATCGAACTTAAGATGTAGCGTTGCTATTGTAGGACGACTAATCACTTAAGCCCAAGGCCGATTCCTAATAAATTGTACTTAGATGCTTGCAACTCTTGATTTTAAAATTGGGGTTAAAACAACATCCCTAGCATCATGTGAACAGTGGTCCATTGTGTTAAAATATTTCCCACTATCCAGTTTTCTGTCATTTTATTTTAATAAAATTATCAAAAATACCCTTTTTTTAGGTTAATATAAATAAACCTCAAATTTTCTAAAACCTCATCCATAACCCTTTTCTCAACTTTGTACATTTTTTGACTAAAATACCTTAAGAAAATTGTTATGTCCCTAAAGGCATCACGGTTAACCAAGATTCGTGATGGTCGTGAAGCGTGCAAACACTGTTGGTATGGAGCTTAAGTCAATATGGTTCTATTAGAACCGTGACGATGGGGTAGCATTAGAACCTTCACGGCATGATCACCTTGACTAACATAGATCTCACACCAATGTGATATTATCAAGGTTTAATTAAAACTATGATAGTTAAACAAACCATCACAGCGCTTCAAGTGTCGTGATGCTTCAAACATGGTACTAGCTGCAAAGTTACTCAGAACCGCAATGACCATCACGGTTCTAGGCTAATCATGATGCCTTTATAGGCCAAAGATTATCGTGAAGGGTATTTTTGTCAGAAAACACATACAATGGTGAAAAGGGGTATGAATAAAGTTTTTAAAAATTTGGACATTTATTTTTAATAAAAAAAGGGATATTTGTGTTAATTCCCATTTATAAACTTTTATAAAGCTCATATTCATAAGGCCCACATTAGAGGTTGTTATTCGCAAGGAAATGTTATAGGGCTTTCTAAAACAGTCACCTGTTATTCAACCTTCAGAAAAAACGTTATATCACAGATATTTTGGAGTACATCAAGGAATTGGACAATATCTGAACCAATATATATATATGCAGTTACCAATATTAATTGATAGATCTTATATATTGTGTTTTATATTAGTATAGGGACTCATCCCATATGAACCTTTCAAAACTTTCTCGAATATAAAAATGTATTTGGTAAAGTCATTGCTCTATAAAGGTGCACCTCATTTCTTGCTTGAAATGTAGTCTTAGCACCAAAAATCTTACAAATTGATCATCTTGACCTCGACAATTGTGGCTATGAAATGAAGGGGTCTCAACTTTTGAAAATATATATCTTATAGCATGTTCTTTGGACGGTCTGCTTTAGGTGTTCACATATCCACCTAATCTAAAAAAAATTTTATGTTTTGGGTTTCATGGTTAGGAAGCAAGAATAGATTTGATAAACCAACTCACTAGCACCAAAATTATAATTATTGGTGGGGAAGATATATCCTTGTCAAATACAGTATATCCTTTCAAAAAGTGGGACTTGAGTGAAAAATATGAAATATAAGAAATTATTTTTAAATTTTAAAAATAAGACATGATTTTATGTAACTTTCTCCAATATTAAATAATAACTCAGGGTATTCTATCTTGAGTGATAAGATGTGAACGGCATTTTAATGGACCCTAGATCCACCCATTTGCACCATTTTGGGAGCTTCGATTCCATATTTGGTTGTGAAAATGGTCCTTCCAATTTTTAAGAGGGGTTTGGGTACTCAATCTGACAAGGACCAAGGATTTTAGTGAAGCTCAGGTTGTACCATTTAATTTTCCATTTTTAATTCGAGATTTCATACTGGGAGATTATTTACCATTAGTATAAGGAGGTCACAATCAATCGTAGGCTCTCGATGTCAAATTTGATGGCTTCGTGTCTCAGTAAGTTCGAAAATTTTATTTTTGAACTTTGAGTCAAGTCATCGATATACTTACAACCATCTGATTTAAAATAATCTTAATTTATTATACAGAGTAATGCCTTTTTACGATACAAGATTATCATAGAAAAAACCTGCCTGCCTCTTTAGATGGATCAAATTTGAGAAACAGACCTTCCGGATTCTATCGGATGCTTGTGCCTATCCTCCATGGCATGAAAATTTATGGCAAGCTTCATTTCTTGTATACCACGGCCGCCGCTGCCGCTTCCGCCTGAGTTTACACCGGAGTCTTTGCAACCATCATTGTTAGCCATGCATTAGGAATATCCTTTTTCTATTGTTGCTCCATCGGACCCTCCACTAACCATGGCAAAGAGTAAGAAGTAGCAGGAGGAGGCAGCGAAAACTGAGGAGGAGGAGGTGGTGCATGCATCGAGTTTGTCCCAAAGTTGGAGCCACCATGGAGGTGGCAATGATGTTGGGCTCTACAAAAAGTGAGTTGCGGGTGGAGATGATTAAACTACCAATTAATTTTATGGATTTTCAATATCCAAAAAATAGCCATGTTCAATATGTAGTTGTGTTGACTTTTTTTTTTATTTTTGGAATCTGAAAATAAAATTAAAGGTTTTGTGGCTAATTTTTGGAATCGAGATGTATGAATATGAAAAAAAAAAAAAAGATTTTGAGTCTTACAAATAGTATATCTTGCAATAGCATTGTCTAGTGTGTGCATTTTCAAGATTTTCATATGGTTATAGATTTACTTGATTTTAACTATTTTTGGTGTTTAAAATTTCATAATGAGATTTAAAAATAGATTTTGAGATAATCCTAAGAATGTTTTACACCAAAATTACATGTTATGATAAAATTTGGAGGTGTGCCTTATTGTTTAAGATTGCAACCTTATAGAAACCGCACCCTTATTTAAATATTATGATTAAAATATATAATTATATTTATTTAAATATTAATTAAATATTATTAATATATTACATATTAAATGCTATTTATATAATAACACTGTACGGATTTGATCCACATAAACCCAGACCCAAATTTGAATAGTGTTGGTGTCCAAATATTGGACCCGAACCTGACACGCCAAGTGTAATTCTTGGAGCCCTACCTGGACAAGTGTCAGGTCTGGATGTTGGGTCCGGGTCCATTGCCACCCCTACTAAAACATATGTTTTTATATCTAATGGTCAATAATGATTGCGATCTCCTTATACCAAAAGTAAATAATCGTGTTGTGTGTGTCTACATGATGTTTGCGAGACAACCTAAGTCATGCTAAACCCTCCCCCTCTCTTTCATGATCCATCTTTGCAGAAGTAGGCATTTATCGCATGGATCATAATCTGTGTCTATGATGACCAATATTAACTTAGTGATTAATCCACAAGGACCGCAGGATTACGTCATTCTGGAACCAGAACCAGGCATGTGCATCGTGCCCCTACCAGCAGCTCAAGTGCACACCAGATTGCCCCATGGCCCCCTTCATCCCACCGGACAGCATGAGCAACTTCCTAAATATCCAACGCTTGTAAGGTGTCAGCAACGTCATAAAGCTCATCTTCTAGTTCAAAAAGCCTGAGGAAAGGGCTGCCGTCATGAGATCCATCAAACAAGAAGCAAGTATGAGCAAGAGACCCCATCCTCGGAAGATATGGCATCGTCGTCGACCTCAACAAGCATATTCTACATGCTTGCACACTGCTCAATAATCTCCGCCAGCAACTCACCTTTTGCATGCCCAACATCATCACCACCTCGATGGTGGTTCCAGCTTTGGGACAAACTCGATGCATGCACCACCTCCTTCTCCACTGTTGCCGCTGCATCCTCCTGCTCCTGCTCTTGCTGGTTCTTACGCTTTTCCATGGTTGGTGGAGGATCCAATGGAGCAACAACAGCAAAAGGATTTTCCTAATACATGGCTAACAACGATGGTTGCAAAGACTTCAGTGTCAACTCAGGTGGCAACGGCAGTGGCAGCGGCCGCCGTGGTATACAAGAAATGAAGCTTGCCACAAATTTTCATGCCATGGAGGATAGGCACAAGCATCCGATAGAATCCAGAAGGTCTATTTCTCCGATTTGATCCATCTAAAGAGGCAGGGAGGTTTTTCCTATGATAATCTTGTATGGTAAAAGTGCATTATTCTGCATAATAAACTGAGATAATTTTAAATGGGATGGTTGTAAGTATATCATTGACTAGATTCAAAATTCCAAAATAAAATTTTCAAACTTAGTGACACACTGAGCCATCAAATTTGATATATGGAGGCTATGATTGATTGTAACCTACTTATACTAATGGTAAGTAGTCTCATAGTATGCAATTCCTAATTAAAAATGGAAAATTAAATGGTACAACCCAAGCTTCACTAATATGCTTGGCCCATGGCAGATTGAGTACTCAAACCCCTCATGAACACTGGAATGACCATTTCCACCACCAAATAGGGAATCGAAGCTCCTAAAATGGTGCAAATGGGTGGATCTAGTGTACATTAAAATGCCGGTTCACATCTTATCACTCAAGATGGAATACCTTGAGTTATTGATTAATATTAGAGAAAGTTATATAAAATCATGTCTTATTTTTAAAATTTAAAAATAATTTTTTATATTTCATATTTTTCACTCAAGTCCCACTTTTTGAAAGGATATAATCTATTTAGTAGAGATATATCTTCCCCACCAATAATTTTATTTTTGGTGCTTGTGTGTTGATTTATCAAATCTATACTTGCTTCCTGACCATGAAACCCAAAACATAAACAATGGTGTATAGATTAGATGGATATGACCTTCACACCCCTTGAAAGATAATAGGTGATGTTTAGAAAGGAGTGTGAATGTAAAATTGACTAAAAATTCTCTTTCCAAGATGGTTATAACACAATTTTAGATTGCATTTCAATAATTATGAAATATATATTTTAATAGAGTAAAACTTTTTACATCCAACGAGAGGTTGCCACTGGTCTTCTTAAGGCCAAGAATCCCCAAAAATCCTGTTTTTCTTTCTACTAGGCGTTGAGAATTAATCCGATCCGGATCCATAATGTGGATTTCGAACTCTATTCGAATCTGGATATGGACCCAAAATTTGGATATGAAATTTGGTTCAGGACCCAAAAGTCAGGTCCAAATTGAAATTCAGATCGAATTCGAATGCAAGTTGATCTGAACAGGATCCAAATCCAAGTCTAACCCGATTCTTTTATTTGTAAATTTTTATTTAATATATATATATATAATCCGGATCCAGATCCAGATCCAAATTTGATGTATATTATTCAATTCTAGATTCGGATATGATGTATATTATTCGGATCTAGATTCAGATTCGAAGATCTAGGATCCGGTTTGAACCCGAATCCGATGTATACTATTTGGATCCGAATTAGGATCTGGCGGATCCGGCCCAAACCTGACCCGTTCTCACCCCAACTATTTACCTAGCTTCGTCTTTCTACAACCTCCATCTCTTTTCCCTCTCTCCCTCCCCTTACTCACCGTCCCTTATCTCTCTTACCAACTTTCTCTCTCTCCCACTTTTTGCAAGAGCTCCAAGAGAGAGAGCTGCTACCATCAGGGTGAAGCTTTGTGGAACATTGGGCATTTGCAGGAGAGAGACCCAATTGGGATATCAGAAAGTAATTATTGACTAGTAGGAGAAAAGACCAATCTTGCCACTCGATCCAAAGAAATTGAATTACCTAATTCTTAGTGATTCTAGCTGCGAGTGGGTGTGTGAATTTGCTAGCAGTTGGGGCCAGAGAATTAACCCTAAAACCAGAGCCCCATCAACGTGGCCACAAATTGGATCATTGCTAAGTGCTAACTAGAGTGAGAATGTCCACAAGCTCTAATGGTGGATGAAGAATATCGATCAAATACTGAGCAGATAACACAAGTTTCTGGTTTTCTTTTAGAAGTTCAACATGGTACCAACAAAACTCTCCTCCACTCCCTTCTCTTTAATATCATTCTATTGTGAAATAGTTATCCATCATTAGAGCCTTTTTCCAACTATTTGGGGCCGATTACATTATGAATAGTTACTCAATCCATCAAATTTATAAGCTTTTTACTTTACTGCTCCAGGGAAGTGGGTCTTGTATATTCAATCTTCTAGAGAGAGACCCTCTCCAAAACTTCAGCATCTACATTGGCTTCTTCTTGAACGAGCTCCATTACATTAACAAAGAAAACAATTTTTCTCTCTTAACAGTTTAAAGCCTTCCTATCGCCCTTTGAACGAGATCTTTACGCTACAAGAACATACAGAATTGATGTTAAATTGTTCAATATTTTCTTGCTACAATTGTATTACTTTCAACTTATATGGCATGCCACCTTTGATATACAACCGTCGACTAAATAGCATGTAAAGGTATATATCATTCTTTAACCCTATAAAATAAGGCTCTTTTACATATACTTTATGGGTTTTAGGGTTCTGTAATACAGTTATCGTGGGTTCTATAATGTGTATTTTGTGATACATCTTCTGTGGGGTTTAAGGCACAGATATACAGAAAAAGCATAAATTTTTCATATGGTATCAAAGTCAGTCTGATCTGTGAGCCTGATGCCCCTCTATTATTCTGCCATGTTGTTCTGATCTACAAGTATGCCCCTCAGCTACTCGCCCAGCTACACAAATCTCCTCAGCCACTCACCCAAGTCATCAGCAGCTTGGATCCTATTCTAACCCTATTGAATTTGCTCCTTCGAAACCACCCAGATCTATGCCCTCTTGCTCCTTTGACATTCAACAAACCACCCAGTGAACTCAGCTATGCCGCCTCTGAAATCGACCCTCTCTGAAACCCACTCTGAATCTTTAATCTTCTTCATCCTTGTCCGGATATGAAACTCTCTCAGTAGCTGCATCTTCTTCCTCAAGTCCCTCTCTCCCCTCAGATTTGAGTGATCTCAATCGCCTGGATCTCCTCTCTGAGTCATTTTTTCTCTTATATTTGTTTCTCTGCATCTTTTAAGTCGACGGGCTCTCTCTCCTCAATTTCTTTTGACCAGAATCAATTACACCTCTGTTGGTCTTCCTCTATTGTTGGATTTTTCGAAAAAAAAAATTCTTTAGTCTCATGTGAAACCTTCCAAAAATTCGTGATAGGACCTACCTCTAGGGCTCTTGCAAGAGGAAAGAGTGAGGGGTGGCGTACAAAAGGGAAGAAGTCTGGAGTGATTGAGAGAAAGAATAGTGACCGTAGGTCGTCATTAAAAGGAAGAGAGGTTTCCTTGTTCTCCATTTCATGATTTTAAA